AAAAAAAAAAAAAAAGAGAGAGAGAAAGGCAGACTGGTGATCTGTGCTGGATGACCAGATAAGATATGGTTATCTTAAACTTTGGTAAGTGGCTTCAGAGACAAAGCAGCATATTGGTTTTACAGAAACATGCCAGCGACTTGAAGAGATAAAGTTGTGCTGCATTTTAAATTCTCCACAATCCCTTGGTTACCAGAAGCATGGTCGGCCTCCACCTGTGTCTACCTCCAGAGAAGCCCCAGATCTCCCAGTGGCTGGAGCCAAATAGAGATGAGCACTGCAGTTGTGAGTTCCATCAGTGATTGGGGAGCTATTCACACCAACTCCCGGCACCTGGGTTCAGGTGATCCCTGCTCCATACCTGCAGATCCAGCCTGGCCAACCTTGAACAAACCTTTGCTTGGAGAAGCAACTGAACAGATGCATAGGGGAGGGGGAGAGAGAAAACAAGGAGATAGGTGATCTTGATTGGAGGAAGACTCATTAATAACCTATCATATGCAGATGACACAACCTTGCTTGCTGAAAGCAAAGAAGAGTTAAAATACTTTCTGATGAACATTAAAGACCACAGCCTCCGGTATGGGTTGCACCTCAATGTAAAGAAAATAAAAATCCTCACCACTGACTAATAAATAACATCATGATAAATGGAGAAAAGATTGAAGTTGTCAAAGCCTTTACTATGTTTGGATCCACTATCAACACTCATGGAAGCAGCAAGCAAGAAATCAATGATGTATTGTACTAGGCAAATCTGTGGCACAAGACTTCTATCAAGTGCTCAAGAGCAAAGATGGTAGTTTGAGGACTCAGGTGTGCCTGACCAAAGCCATGGTATTTGCAATAGGCTCATATGCTTGTGAAATTTGGACAATGAAGAATTGATGCATTTGAGTTACGGTACTGGAGAAGAATATTAAAAGTACCATGGACTGCAAGAAGAACAAACAAATCTGTGTTGGAAGAAGAACAGCCAGGATGGTGAAACGTCATCTTTTATATTTTGAACATATTATCAGGAGGGTCCAATCCTTGAAGAAGAACACCATGCTTGGTCAGTGAAAAAGAGGACGATCCCCAACAAGACGGATTGGCATAGTGGCAGCAGCAATGGGCTCAAGGGTAACAACGATTGTGAGGATGGCACAGGACCGGGAAGAGTTTCCTTCTGTTGAGCATAGGGTTGATATGAGCTGAAGCCAACTCGACGGTACCGAACAACAAGGTGATCTGTGCTAGCCTGGGCAGGCACAGCACTGCCATCCTGAACTTTTGTGGGAGAATTTGAAGGCAGAGAGTAATTGGTGGTGCAGAGGCATACTGCTTATTGCCAGAAAGAAGGGTGTAAATTTTTTTCTTGAACCCCACATTACCACATACACTCTGTGGCACCCACCCACATACACTCCCAGTGAAGCTCCTGCTTTCCAGACGGTTGGATCCATATTAAAGTGAGTTGAGAGCTAGCAACAGCAACCCCAGCACCTAGTATTAGATGTAGCCTGCTCCAGACCAGCAGAGTTGGTTCTGGTCAGGCCTGGACTAGCAGGACCACTCACTCTTGGCTGCTCTCTGGGATGGAAATAACCGATCCCCCAGCTGCATGAACTATTTCCAAATTGGGTACCGTCAGTCAAAGTGAGTAGGGAAGTATCCGTACCAACCCCAGTGCCTGGATTCAGGTGAACCCTGCTCCAAACCTGCAAATCTGGCCAGCTCTGGCCAGCCTTAGCCAACCATGGACTAGTCCTAACTAGGAATAGCAATTAAACAGATGTGGGGCTGGGGGGGTGGGGGGAAGGAGACAGGTGATCTGTGCTGGGCA